TCACTTGACAGACATTTTCCAAGAGCAAACACCAATAAAGTTAAACTGATTACGTTTTTAACTTTTAACAAAAATAGGAAAAAAAATAACCTGCAAAGGTTTTTTCTCCTATTTACATATCAGGCAAATACAATTTAAATGTGTGATAAAGTGTATGCTAAATGTTTTTCTCATCGGGTTAACTGGCTAATATCACAAAGGAATCCCTGTTTGTGTTGTTTTCAGAGCTAGTTGATAGCCAGGCACAGCCACTGCAAAGAGCAAAAACAAAAAGTTACACAACAACACAGTGACTAAAATGGGAGTGGCTAAAAAACACACTATTTTTCTCCAACACACCTGTTGCATGTCCAGCTCGATCTTCCCAGAGTTGTTTCTTTCCAGAGACTTGAACATTTCTGGTTGAGAGGAAAACACACATACGGGTTGTAAACAGACCGCAGCTCTCTGATACAGATCAGAATGAGATTAAGGAGTATTGTTGTTGTATAAGTTGTTTTTGCTGACACTTACTGAAGAGCATTTCCAGTTTAATTAGACACGCCACAAAACTGTCAAAGTCTATGGCGTACTGAGCATCAGTGTAACGGTTGACTATGGCCTGTAGCACGGCACTGTTGACATGGAAACCTGTGGAAGAAACATAACCATCATCAACTTCCTGGAAGATTGCAGGGTTGGTTTCATACATGAGGATCAAATCTGATCTTGGGGAAGTGTTTTTTATTTTATTTTGATCTTTAGAGAGGTGTCAGTTATTAACAATGGAAGAGGTTTGTTACACAGCCTCGCCCATACTCATTTTGTTCCTGTGGTAAAGCATGCACGACAGACGCCTTTGTGCAGGGAGGGAGTCAAACTGGCTTATCCAGTCTTACATTTTCTTCTGGCACTAATTATACACACAAACACACCATCTGCTATGCCAGAAACTAATGCTGCTTTATTTTCCTCTGCAGTTCACTGATATTTCTATTTTAGAAGTCATGGGCATGACAATACCTTAACTTGGTCCACGGGTATTTCAGCTTTAGTGGTATTCTCAATTCAAAGACAACCAGAGTCTGAATGCAACTACATCGTTGATATATCATGGAGCCATGCAGCAGAGGATGACAGCTTTGCAGCAAAGCATGCAAATAAGCTATATGGTCCTTTCCACTGTTCACACTTTAACTGTTGGATGTTACTGTTTGAGATTCCTCTTGCGATCATGTCTTTTTACCTGCTTCAGTGGCAGCGCCTCTCATCTCATGGGAGCTCATGGTGCCAGAGTAGTCTGAGTCGTGATTCTTAAAGATCGCCTGTGTGACCCAGACAGCCATGATTTGTGTTAGCAGATGCAGAAAGGTGTTCCTACCATGATCATAATTCATTTCATACCAATTTAATGGCAACTCACCAAATAATTCTGTATTTTGTTCCAAAGCACATGGAACTCCGTCAGTCCCAGCTTGGCACTTTCATCTTTCTGGTGAATGTTAAGGATTACACCATGCAAAGCCTGTGATTAATCACGTATTAGTCATTTAAGTATCATTTGTGAATAATGATTATAATCACATCCTCAATCATCCTCACTTCAAGGATAAATTGGTGCAGATGATTATTACCATATATTTTACAATACATTAAATATTATAGTAAAATTTGAGGTTACACAATAAACTGGACTAAAAGTGAACTTATGAAAAAATACAGTTCTACATGATTGCCCTTGTTATCTCAGACTATCTATGATTTTCAGAGTAAATGCCTTTAAGATATATCTATCCATTTATTTTTCTTAATGTGGCATATTGACATCATCATGATCTGGTTCCACATCATTTAACTCAGCCCTCCTCTGGATAAGATTAGAACTAATGTCATTTACCAATCCAAACTGCAGTGACACAGTAGAAAGACATTTGTAGATTTAAGGTGCTATTTCACAACATAACAAATCAGTGTCTGTTTAATGTATTAAAGAGGATACATCCAACAGACTGACAATAAGTCGACCTGTATCCAGGCTGAATCCATCTGTCTTGATATCAGACCCTGCAAGAACGTGACAAAACAAAGTCTAAAGTCAGTGAAAATTAAAGTGTTTTTGCTTAAATTAATCAACTTTTTAGTACTTACGATGAGAGACAACATTGTTCAAAAGTGTAATCAATTCAAAGACAGATATCTCCATATCCTGTTTGGGGAAAACATTGCATTAATTTTCTTATTATGGCAGTTTATGCATTTTTGTCACATCCTTCTACTTACATAGCCGGCAAGCTTCTTGAACATTTGTTTGAAATGAGGATCCACTTCACTCTCAGATATCTCCTCCTGTGAGAGAAAGATACCAGCAAGTCTGATACATGATCTCAGAATGTTAAATTTAACATATATTATAATAACCAATGTGTATTTCAAATTTACTGTGAGACTTCCACTCACTGTGGAGGAAAGAAAAGAAAATAATTATTTTATGGATTTTTTACCTCCTCTATCTTAGCATCAATGTCCTCCTCCAGTGGACTGAAAACAGAAATGCACAGTGTGAACACTCTCTGTTGATTTGCAATGAAATAACAAATAGTTTTCTATTTGTGACTAAAGGAGCTGGCCACTGACTTTGTCCACTAGATGGTGGTATGAGCAAAAGCTCTGAGCTCTACTGCACATGACCCTGAACACATCATGCACCCTGTGTGTTACTGTAACACAGATACCTGGTCGCAGCCTGTTTCTCTGAGAACACCCTGAGAATGAAGCTGCCGTTCTTGTGGGGTGAGAAGGTTGAGGGGATGACGGCGTATTCCCCTGGTGGGAGTTTGATGCGATCGCATACTTCTCGCATGTTGATGAAGCTGTGGCTCATGGCCACAGCTCTCTGTCGCAGCAGAACCTCTGGACCCAGATGAATATTGCTGCGACCTTTGTACTGAAGGTTAACAGCAGAGGAGTTTTATTAATGGAGAGTTGTGCGGGATCCCAGACATTCACAAGACAATCAAACAATCATATTAATACTTGTGCTGTAATTTAAAATGTTTTAAGTTGAAGATCATTACTGACATGTACCAGAACAAATACAGACCTCATCTGGGACCTGTAAAAAAGAAAGATGCATATTTATTGCACATCAGTCAATTAGTCATAAAAAAGTCAAATACAACAAACTGATTTCATATGAAATATCATATTATTGTCAGACACCTCATAAATGGCAAAGCCAATGGTCTCAAGGTCGCGGTTAAGCCTCTTCTGTTGTCGTGAATTCTTCTGCATCAGCCCCACCAGAAATGTACATCCATCCTCGCCGTCCAGAGGATCGTCATCCACGTTCTCCAGACGCACCACAAACTGAGGGTTGGATGAGAACGTGGCTGGAACACATTCAGAAAAAGTGAGGTAGTATATACACAGAACGTCTTGCTCAGACATAACTGCACAAATGATTTTCTTTTCTCTCACCTGCGTTATTGCGGCAGCCGCCAGCTGTGGAGCCAGTTCGCCACATCCCTTCAAACTGGTAGTGGTTCCAGCGGCCCACGGTGTCGCTCATGAGCGTGTCCGGGGTCAAGTTACAGATCTCCAGCTTGGAGAAGTGCCTGATGAAGTCAGAGAAGGACATCCTGGCAACAGGAAAATATATATTATATAATATATTTAAAAAAATATTTTTATCTCAGTTTGACTTCACTTCACAGCCTGAGTCTGAACGTAAACAGTTGCTGCTGGAGATATAGAAGATTATGATTATTAATCCATATTCTACCATCAACAAAACATTTACATTTAACATTTACCAGAACTCTCCATCTTCTGCCACATGGTTGAAGTTTGATTTCTCATCATTGCTGAT